CCAACCCCCCCCCATGCCAGGAAGAACCTAGCACTGGCCCCAGCCTGCAGCAGCAACCCACCCATGCACAAATCTGGGGGAACATACCCCCATAGCACACAGCAGTGCACATAGTAGTGGGAGAAGCCCCACCCACCCACAGTGAGGGAGGAAGTGGGGTTGGGGCAGGGGCATTGATCTCTGCTCTCCCCACCCCTACACCCATTCCCTCCCCAACTTACCAGGCAGACACTGCTTTCCAAGCTGCTGGGCTACATATTGGCAAATCAGACCAGTATCGGCCAATATGGCTTGTTAATAAAAATCAGCCAAAAAAAATCTTTATCAATGCACCCCTACTGATTAGAAAAATCAAAAGTGTGATCTTGGACTTAAAATTGGGCCACTTGCTTGATGTCTGTAACCTTCTATCTTTCTTCTTCTCCACAGATTCCTGCTGACCATCTCCGTCCACTATACTTCCTAAATTCTCTCTCCAACCAGCAGCCCACATTCTTCCTAATACAGCATGGGTGCCACCCAGAACTCCAATTTCACTTTGCTACTGCACAGGAAACACAAGCAGCAGCAAAGGCACTAGCCTGCCTCCTGTTTATAAACTAAACTGACTTACAGACACTGAATTTTGCACTCATGCAATTATTCCCTTCATAAATCATGAAGGTAAGAGATTTTTCAGGACTCAAGAGTTACCCAAAACACTTTGGAGCATGCATCTTAATCTGTTTTGCAAAGTGAACCTTTTTATATCACAATCAGAAAAGTAGGAATGGAAAAGATCTAAGGGTGGAACTCATTTAAAAAAAAAAACAAAAACAAAAAAAACAACAAAACCCACCAAAACCAAACAAACCAAACTTAAAGGAGGCCAGGATTCTTGGTCAGCAAAGAACTGTAGTGACTCAATTTCTCTCCATTCATATCTTTGAAATAAAACGTAAAGAAGATTCTAGAGCCAATAAGATGGGAGCCAGACAAAGCTCTTAAAAGCTCTTTTCTTGGGAAGAACAATACTTTTTTCCCCCTTTAGTTTCAGAGACCAAACTGTAGTAAACTGAACTAAGAGTCTATATTTCACACACGTGCACATACACAGTTCATTAGCCCTTTCAGCTCATCCACCTGTTCAGTTCTTCTTTATTAGCCTGGCCTGACAAAGACAAATTCATGCATTTACAGTGCAGTATTTAGCTCTAAGACCTCTAGGATCAAGTATAATCTACTGTGAATGCAGGTGACTGTGTCAATAAGTTTATGAATAGGATAAGTTATTCTCCTGTGGCTATTGCTGAAAAGCTGTTCCAAAAATCTCAGTTCTCCAATGATCAGAAAAGTGTTTGGAAGGGCCATAAAAGGAGAAAGATTACAACATGCCTCAGTATAACTGTAATTAGAACAGGGGGTGGCTGTCAGGGACCAAACAGTCTCTAGTTGTGCCAAGGGTTAACCTTGCAAACAGTGGATATAGCTCGATGTCATCTAGACAGGAACTATTAATGCTGAATTATCATCACTACTTATAACATCTACAAGTCAAAGTTTAGGGCTTAATCCAGACTGATAAACAAGGTACTTAAACAAAAAACAATCCAGAATATTCCCCATCACAAGTCACTAGGCAGCTGAATTCACTTAGCACCTATATTTTTTGGACAGCAGAGATCTTTAAGCACCTAGATTTAAAAACATCCTTACATGCATGACACCACGTAGTCTGGGGCACAAGATGCTTACATCTCTACCTCCCCCACCACACACAACCACCAAGTCCACTGAAATGCAGATGCCAGGCAGAGTGGTGCCTAAACTCTGCCTGCCTCTCCCAGAAGTCCCTAGGTAGGTGCATGTCTAAACACATTGACAATACTGAATTCAGTACAAAATACAGCAGTCACTCACTTTTACTCAGATGCAGCCAGAACAAAAGAAGGCAACACCTTTATGTGCAATAAACTGGTGGGTAAAGCACTCACGCAGGAAGTGGGAGATCTGAGCTATGGCCCTTTTCCCAGGATCTTTTTTGTCCAATGACCAAAGTAAAAAATCGAAGAACCAAAGGAGCAGGGACTAGAACACAGGTCTCCCCACTTCCAGCTCTGTCCCCAACCAGTAGAGGGAATTGATCTTGGTCTGCTTCCAGACCCATGATTCCTCCATTCCAAGTTCGCACAGTAGTCCAGCTTCAACAAGAGGCTTAGAAGTTTCCTATAGCCAGAGGGTTCTATAACCTGGAAGTAAAGGCACTTTTCTGGGAACTGGGAGATTATGGATGAACCTCCTGAGAGAAACAAGGGCAAGACACCTGCATCTTCCACCTCCAAGAAATTTTATATAAAAAGGTCAGCAACAGCATTATGTACCTCTATTGGCTCTTAAATTTTGAGGGGATGGAAGCACAAAGTATAGCCTTAGTCCAAGTACACACTCGAGCAAGAACAGGAATTTAGTTTCATATTAGCTTATTCCAAAAGACTCCCTGCTCAGCATATGAGCTCTCTGAACTGTCCTCTGGGGACACCCACTCTCCCCAATGATTGGAGAAGGCATCTGTTTCCTTGAATTATCCTACTGGGGTCAGGCATTTAAGTTTTCAGGTGTTGTGACACCCATGTTGGAGGTGCCTAAAACTGCCTCACCAGATCTTTACTAGGATTGCTGATTTAAGTAATCTGGAAGATGAGTACTGTTCTGAAGATCCAGTGGAATCAGCAATATAATATTCTCTCAAAAGATACATTACAGAACTTCTAGCTTTTGCTTCAAAATACCTAGAAAAATGCAAATAATCCTTTTCTAGGAAATTAGGATATCTAGAAATATTTGCCAGCACCTACTTAAAGACTTTACATTTTAAAAAGTCTACTAAAAACTTTTCCCAGCCACTTTATAAATGATAGTGTATGGATACCAGCTTCCATCAGCCAGTGGTGATACTTGGTGGCTACAACTGAAAAAATATACACCTTCTGAAAGCTCAAGTGCTTTCACAGATGAACATTTTTAATATGCTAAAAAGACAGAAAAATCTTCTAAAGTAGGATTTAAGTTTTGTCCATGAGGGGACTTCAACACTGAGCACTACACTATAATAGCTCTACAAAAACCACTTGGCAGCACTAGTTTATCCATTCCATCTTTGTAAAATAAATATTCTCACTACACAATATTTGGATTTTTAACTAAAAAACAAAGCTTTAAGAAATCCAAAGGAACCAATTAAGTCAGTTGTTTGTTTTTTTTAATTTGATAAAGTTGCAATCAACATTTTACTTCTGCTAATTAAGGAATTCCTCCTGCTTTTTAAATAGTGCTCCAAAGCACTATGAAGTGACATGAAAAATTCCTCTGCATCCAGTGGAAAGAATACTCTCTCTATTCTTACTTCGTTGCATTGGAGGATCATGATCGAGATTTAAAAAAAAAAAAAAAAAGGATTCTGTTCCTATATATTTTAAAAATTCTTTCATTTCTTCCTCCCCTATTTTATTGCTTTCTGGTTAAAGAAAATTCCTTCTTATAAGAAACAATGAAACCAACTTTTTAGCCTATGAACAGATTAAGTTTAAGTAAATTACAGAGATGGTAAAATCTTCCTCACTAGAAAGGCCCACAGCCGAACAAATACCATTTTTATTATTTAAACAACTGTCTTTGGAGGGAGTAGTACAGAGCTGGAAGAACTATTAGATGTTCCACTGCCTAAAGTTAACAGCAAATCACTTAAATCCTTCAGGGGAAGACTGCTTTTTTTAATTAACCCCCTCAGCAGCAGAAGTACTTGGTAGGTTCACACTTACCCCTGCCAGTTCTTGTTGAATAGGAGCAAGCTGGGCTTCAGAAGCAGGAATCAAAGTAGCACTGGCTGAGGCAACAGTGGGAGCAGGAAGCTCAAAGTCGCGCTCACCAGCTGATTCTGTGTGACCCAGACCACGGTGGGGGGACTCAGCCTCTCCCTGTGGGTCCTCTCCTGAATCCGACAAACCTTTTTGCTCTGCAGAGGACTGGGAGCAAAAAAGACAATGTCCCTTCAATGCAAGGATGCAACATGATGGAGCTACTGTCCTAGTGAAAGGATGTACTGACCCTTTTTTCAAAATTTCACCATTTTCATAGTCTGAGAAAAGGAATTGCTCCATGTTGGCACACTAATGAAAACAGGTTAAAACAACCTGAAATTTGATTAGCTACCTTTAATTAAGCATCAGATGAAGCAAATAAAAAAGGCAAAGTGCCAATGCCTCCTAACCAAAACACTTCTGCTAACTGTAATTGTCTAAGCACTTTGGCATTTAGTTCTTTCCACTTTTAAGCCTTGGCCAACAGGTCTTAGTTGTTTCAATTTTTCTTACCCACTGGGATCAAAGGTAACAGAACCAGCAAGGAGACAACTGCTGGAAATAATGGACTATTTCACTGTTGTGCTTGTCATATACTTAAAAAGCCTAGTAAACTGCACACTTTGGCTGTAACACACAGGTCATAAATATATTGCAATTCACACAAGATAATATTATTTATGTTTGTGTGTCAATATATTTTTGTAAAGCAGTAATTTTTTTTTTTTAAAACAAATCTATATAGCTATATATATATATATATATATATATATATTTTTTTTTTTTTTTT